GGTCTTACATTTTTAGAATTGTTTCACACGGAAATCAACGTGGACGCCAGGCGTGCGTCTGCCGAGCCGTCGGGTTTATGTATAGGTTTTGTGAGGAACCTCAACATCACACGAGGTGCGAGCCCGACAGTCAAGGCCAAAGTTTTTTGTTTTTGAAGGTGCAGTCTGAATGAGGGTTCGTGCACCACAGTCCGACTCTCAGAGATCTTTAACCCGTCGTCTAGCAGCACGTTAAAGGCTGCTCAGTAAGGAGGAAGTCACTGCTGGAGGATCCATTTCTCTTATTTTCTCAGCGTCTGCAACGTCAGCGTGGCTGAACTCGGTGTTTTCAGGCGTCTCCACATTAGCACGAGCATGGCAGTAGGCAGACTCGGAGCCCGGCCGAGAGCCTCGTGTGGGCATGACGTCGGTGTTTCTGTGTGCAGTCTGTGCCGTGTGTGCTGAAGCTGTGATTCAGAGGCTGCTTTCCATCCTTTAGAAACATCTCCGGGTCAGTCGTGTTAATGCAGACGCTGTCGGGGCATGATCACATGATCACGTGTTCCTGAGCCTCTCTTTGTTCTCCAGAGAGGACGCGATTAAAAACACGTCTTCCTCTCTGGTCTTCTGAGGTTTCCTCTGCCGAGCTGAGGTGGTCCGGGACCTCGGGAGCGAACCGGTCATGTGATCATGACTGAAAGTGTTAATAAAGAGATGGTCGTTTGAAAGAAGCCATTTTGAATTTCCACACTCTGAATGGCGCTGCTCCGTGACCCAGCATGCGAACTCAGGCGCTGGAAGTACCCAAAGATCCTGAATGGGATAAGGTCTATTCATCCATCCAAGTTCGTTCCACGACACTGCGTCTCCATTTCACAGCTCCCATAACTCCCTCAGGTCCTTCATCCTTTTCTTCTTGGCCTCTTTACCATCCTTCATTCCTTGGCTCGTTTCCTTTCATTGCCCCACTTCCTGCTAAATCTGTTCCTTTGTTTGTCGATGCTGTAGATCTGAGGTTCCCTTTTTCTCCTGTTCCTTGAAGAATGCTGAGGAGCTCAGCTGTAGATCCCACATGTTGTTTGGTGTTTCAGTCCTGTGGTCCACAGGTCCTTGGATGTTCAGGTCCTGGTACTTCCTACCTCGGTTCTGTGGTTGTGAAGTTGTGTGGTTTCTACGGTTTGGTCTTTCCTCGCAGGCCTCGCCCCGTCCATCCACGTGTGGGACGCCATGACCAAGCAGACACTGTCCATCCTGCGGTGTTCGCACGCTAAAGGCGTCGGCTACGTTAACTTCAGCGCTACAGGGAAGCTGCTGCTGTCTGTGGGGGTGGAGCCTGAACACACCATCACAGTGTGGAGGTGGCAGGAAGGTACCCAACATCTTTCATCAGATGAACGATTGTGAGATGCTCTCAGCTTCTGACTGCTGGCAGTTTGTTGGAAGGAGTAAGAGATTAGCTCTTGGTGCTCTGACACTATCGAGGGTTACACAGGTAACACTGTTCCTGATCCCCACGATTACCTAATGACTCGAGGTTCAGGATTAAGGTTGTTATCAATGATGCCTCGGGGGGGAAACATTATTGTTTGGACCATCTGTTCCACACCAAACAAGACAAAGTATGTGACATAGATGGGACGATCTTTGACCTCTTACCTGTCCGTCAGGCACCAAGGTGACGAGTAAGGGCGGCCACACTGAGCGGATCTTCGTGGTGGAGTTCCGGCCGGACTCTGACACCCAGTTCGTGTCGGTGGGAATCAAACACATCAAGTTCTGGACTCTGGTTGGAGGTTCGCTCATGTACAAGAAAGGTGTGATCGGCTCAGTGGAGGACGGCCGCATGCAGACCATGTTGTCCTGTTGCGTTCGGCGCCGGTAAGAAACGCTGACGTTGCTTTTGTATGTAACGCTCTGGTGTTTGCGGACTTGTGGTAAATCGCTGTTTGTCTCACTCAGAACAACCTGACATTCACTGGCGCCATCAACGAGACGTGTACGTGTGGCGGGAGCATTTCCTGGTGCGCGTGGTGGCAAAGGCACACAGCGGTCCCGTCTTCACCATGTACACCACTCTGAGGGACGGCCTTATTGTTACTGGGGGAAGGAGCGACCGTGAGTCTGCAGTTCCTGAAGATGCTGACCTACCACCTGCTTTTGGTGTTAATACAAAAAAAATGGTCCCAGATTCAACCAGTCATTTAAAGTTGCATTATTAGGGGTGTGGCCTCTTTCAATTACATGTGGATAGTGACACAGGTAGTTGTAGCTCCTAGCTGTCTGCTAGGCTTCACCTGAACTGGACCTCTGGACCGTGTTTGTGCTGTTGGAGCTTTTTTACTAACAGACGGTCAAGAAGGCGGAGCTCCAGGTTTGGTCGCAGTGATTGATTGGACATTGCTAATCTTTGTCTGACTGATGCTTTCATATAGTCTGTGGTAACAAAAGTCGCTAGCATTAGCTCATAATAAAAATCCATGCTCTAAAACGATGGCTTCCGGAATCAGTGGGTGATGCCTAGAGATGGCACAATACCAATTTTTTATGTCCGATACCGATATCATAAATTTGGATATCTGCCGATACCGATATGAATCCGATATAGTGTTTTTAATCAACAAAAACTGTTTTTTAAATATCTTGCTGCATTTTGTATAAGTTCATACTCAAGTTTAAAACAACAACAACACTAAAGCTATTCTGTTAAACCTGTATGCAAAAAAAAAAAATTTCATAGTTCAGCAATACTGATCAATCTAATAAACTTAAACCTACACCATCCTCCCTATTCTGGTATTTTAAAGAGTACTTAGCGTAAATATTAAGCAACCTAACTAATAGGGTTCCAACTCCCAGCAACAACAACAATAAATAAATAAAAAATAGGGAACCACCCCTCACGCGCCACCTCATGATGCTTAATCGACGTAATCAACCTTAATTTGATGCAGTGCACAGAAAATGCACAGAAATCAATTATTTTTCAAGAAATATTAAATAGATTCAACATCTTTCTTCAACAAAATTGCAGACTGCACAGATGGTACCTTCCCAAAGGAAAAGTACTATAGCTTACTAGGGTATATTAGACTTAATAGTTACTATAATACAGTAATGGACTTCTATACATTTTACATCAGATTAAAACTTTGGGTGTCAGATAATTATTTATTAAAAGCTCGACATTTTAATGAAATAAGAAAGAAAAGTATGTCTTTGTGCCCCCTTTTCCCTGTTAATGCCCTATCGGCCCCCCTGGCTAAACTTTGCTAGATCCGCCCCTGCACAGTTACCAGCGTCAGCTACGTAGAAAAAGATCCTCGAGTAGAAAGTAATATTAAATAAATTCTAACAACAGCTGATCAAGCTTAAACGTGCTGCTGTTGTTCAGCCGCTGGTTTCCTCTTTCTGGTGCAAAGTGGGCCAAAACAAACAAGAGAGATGATCAGCTGATCATTAAGCAGTTTCATGATTGAAGCAGCAGCAAGAAGAGGCAGTCGCTCCATATATCGTTTGTTAAGCTTAACGCAGGAATGCTTTACAAACATTCAGAGATGGACTTACACACTTGCTTACTTCTCTCGGGATAACTTTGTCGGAGATGAAATGCCAGGTTGCTAGCGAAGCTCCACATGCTATCCAGACCACCGACAGGTCCCGCATGCCACAGCGCTCTATCACGTGATGCATACTGCTCCGACGTGCTAACGTTCTGAGGCGAGTTACGGCGTGTTGCAAGTTTTGTGAGGTGCTTTCGTGATATTTAATGGATCGGATTACATTTTTATTTTCTCCGATATCCGATCCAGTAATTTAGGTCAGTATCAGACCGATACCGATACGTAATATCGGATCGGTCCATCTCTAGTGACGCCACAGTGGGTGATGCCACAGTGGCTCTATAAACCAGTGTTTCCACACCTTTTGGAGCACCGCTCATATGAAAAATCACACAGCACACCACCAAACAAAAAGCATATTGATCATTTTCCCCGAGCACTGAGCTTGGCTCAGTTTGTCCCAGTTTACGTCTGGACTTCTTTAAGTTGCTTGAAGACGTTTCACCTCTCATCCGAGAAGCTTCTTCAGTTCTAAGGTCAAATGGTGACCTCCCCAGACGCCTTAACGCCCACTCACATCCTGGGCCATCTGACTCAGGGATTCGCATGATAGGGTGGGGCCAGGTTCACAGTGAGCTCACCCGAAACTCTGGCTGATTGGGACACAAACCCACTTTCACACCTTGGCTCAGGTGATTAGAGGATCATCAGGGGGTCCTTTTGTCCCTCTGTGGGGGGAAACTCCCACTAGGTTTATAATAATAATAATAATGGATTGGATTTATACAGCGCTTTTCAAGGCACCCAAAGCGCTTTACAATACCACTATTCATTCACTCTCACATTCACACACTGGTGGAGGCAGCTACAGTTGTAGCCACAGCTGCCTGGGCAGACTGACAGAAGCCAGGCTGCATATCGCGCCATCGGCCCTCTGGCCAACACCAGTAGGCGGTAGGGTAAAGTGTCTGCCCAAGGACACAACAACCAGGACAGAGAGCCCGGGGATCGAACCGGCGACCTTCCAGTTACAATACGCTTCCCACCCCTGAGCCACGGTCGCCCCAATCGTCCTATATCTGGGACTCTCCACCATTTGACCTTAGAACTGAAGAAGCTTCTCGGATGAGAGGTGAAACGTCTTCAAGCAACTCAAAGAACTCCAGACGCTTTTCTTTGCAAGCTCCTTTGACTACGATGACCTGGATGACTGAGAACCTTCACAGACATACGTCCCCAGTTTACCTTTTTTGCTTTCTTCTGACCCATCTCATGCTCTGGCCTTCATCTGGGTCGGAGTTTTCTCCAGGACCAGGTCAGACTGACTGCTGTTTCTGTTCAAATATTTATCTATTGCTATTATGCGCTGCATTGTCTCACAGCGTGAGGATTATGTAATTTCTTCTTCGACTTCTTCTGTTTTACTGGCAGTTGGAGACCCATTGAATTAGAGCAGGTAGTTGTACTGCCCTCTAGTGGAGAGAATGCCATTGTTCTGCCCGTTACTCACGCCGGTCATTTAGAGTACTAATCAGGTGGAATCAGATAATCTGCCGCACCACAGTGGTTGGGAAACACGGCTATAAACCGTGTGGACCGGCCACAAGCATGGCTAAAGGTTAAAGGTTACACCAGGTGAAGATGAGGGTTCAGACAGATCCATTTTAGGGATGTACCCTTCTTCTGGATTCCTTTGATGTATATAAAAAACATGAAATCCCGCTGTCTGCTGCTGTTCATCAGGACCAAAGAGGGTGGTGCTGTGAAGCTTTGGGACCAGGAGATGAAGCGCTGCCGAGCTTTTCAGCTGGAGACCGGCAACCGGTGGAGAGCGTCCGATCTGTCTGCAGAGGAAAGGTGTGAAGAACACACAGTGGAAGGTCCGTGGTGCTTGATGTTATTGTGATTCCAGTGACAGGAAGAGTAACCTCCAACTCTCTGACAGGGTAAAATCCTGGTGGGAACCAAGGATGGGGAGATCATAGAGGTTGGAGAAAAGAACGCTGCTCCAACACCATGATCAACGGACACACTCAGGGAGGGATCTGGGGTTTGACAAGTCACCCTTTCAAAGACGTCTTCATCTCCGCCAGCGATGACGGGACCATCCGAATATGGGACCTGGCTGATAAGGTACGGGGTTGAACTGTGGTGTGCTGCCGACCTCACCTGGTACGGTGTATTCCTTTAATCCTGCTTTCTGTCTTAGAAACTCCTGAACAAGGTGAGTTTGGGCCATCCTGCCAAGTGCACGTCCTACAGTCCCAACGGAGAAATGGTTTCCATTGGCATGGAGAACGGGAGTTCATCGTCCCTGCTGGTCAACTCGCTCACCGTCTGGGGCAAGAAGAGAGACCGCAGCGTGGCCATCCAGGATATTCGGTGGGTTTGAACATTAGCACGAACAGGAGCCTCTAACAGTTCTGGACTAACTTCAGTTTCTGGATTTCTTTGTTCAGGTTCAGTCCAGATAAACCGGTTCTTGGCGTGGGCTCAGTTGAAAGCGCTGTGGATTTCTACGACCTCTCTCTCGGGCCATCGCTTAATCGGATTGGTTACTGCAAGGACATTCCCGGGTGTGTCATCCAGATCGACTTCTCTGCTGACAGCAGACACATCCAGGTACTTTCACTTCCTTCTTAAATAAAGGTTAAAGGTTAAGAAGACACGTGCTGAGTTATGACACATGGGTCTGTTGTTGTGACCTCTGACCTTTTCCTTGTGGGTCAGAGCTCTGTCAGGTGAGAGCTGGTTTTCAATGTCTTGATTTATTCACAGTGTCCACAAGCACCTACACCTGGCAGGTGCACGAAGTTCCCTCAGGGAAGGTGATCACGGATCAGCCCATCCTAGACAGGATCACCTGGCAACCTGGACCAGGTGAGGCAGAAAAGTTGATTTGCTGTGCTTAATGTTAGCTAACGTTAGTGTTAGTGGGAATGCCTCAGACCATGTATGGGTCTCAAACTCCTCGAGGGGCGGTGTCCTGAAACTATTCCATGTGTCCCTGCTGCATCACACCTGAATACAATTAGTGGGTGATTAGCAAGGCTCTATAGAACTTGACTGCATGCTGAGGTGGTGACCCCTAACCCTACCTACTCGAGTAAGTGTTTGGAAAAATTTACTTTTATTGCACTGTGTTCATTCAGTCATGAGCTGCTGTAACAGTAGGGCTGCCACGATTAGTCGACTAGTCACGATTACGTCGACTATCAAAATCGTCGACGACTGATTTAATAGTCGACGTGTCGTTTGAAGCTTTGTAAGATCACAAAAGACGCAGGAATAAGTAGCAGGATTTAAGAGTGTAATAACGGACTGAAACAGAAGATGGCAGCACTGCATGTACAAGGATGCCAGCTGCCGTTAAACCCCGAAGAAGAAGAAGCTGTGTCCCAGAATTCATAGCGCAGCCGAGCTCAGTTTCCAACAATGGCAGCAGCTAGTTAGTTTTAATATTACTCTTATTATTCTTTCTGGATCACAAAATAAACGTTTAACATATTTTCAGGCGAGAATGTAGCTGTGTAAACCTCAAATATCTGCTCAGTTTATCAAGACACCGCATATTTTCAAAAGCGCTCCGACGTTTTCGGAGACGTCTGTTACCCACTAGCTCGATAGCTAGCCGGGGGCTAGGCTCACTAGCGCCGTGAGAACACCGGACTCCCGGCAAATTGTTTTCAAACCCACCGCCGTCTTTCGCTACTCAGGTTAAACATGATATATAAGTCACTTAGATAACTTAAACATGTTATTGTTTGGCTTTTTTCAGTATTTTATTTGTTCCTGAGTAAATCTGTTTGGCTGAGATTAAAGTTTTTACACAGCTGAATAAACGTCAAGCAGACAGCTGATTATCAGAAGTGTGAGATGCTGGAGAATTTACTCCGGTGTCCTGTTATATTTTAGATAGCAAGGAGTTTATTAAACTTCACCGAAACAATCTGCAGATTTC